GAAAGTGCTGCCTTTAAACTTCACTGTGATGGGGTGGGTGTGTGTACGAGCTTGTGTGGGCACGTGCGCGCTTACATGCACATGTCGAAGTGAAAGGACTTCGTGTAGTAGGTTTCCCCTTTCACCCTGGCTCTGGGTATCGCACTCAAGTGCTCAGGCTTGCATAGGAGGCACTTTTACCTGTGGAGCTGTCCCCGTGTCCTTAACGTATTGTTTTTAAACAATTGCAAAATAGGGTTTTCTAGCTAAGAAGCAGCTTTGGCGTATTCCATGTGGCACGCATCTCCTCACATTGTCAGAACTGTGCCTCAGGCCTTAGCTGCTGAGGCAAGGGACACTGTTCATGAGTGAGCTTTCTGCCCTCCCAGGGCCCTAGACAAAGGAAGCCCCCCATGCTCCCTGGAGCTACAAACTGCAGGAGAGACACAGGATGTGAACTATGGAAAGTGCACCTGGGCGCCTCTTTCTCTCCCTCTGTGTGTGTGTTGTGGGGAGCATGTAAGCCTTTCATTGTTGAGTAAGTCCTTGGGAATGGAATATAGAATGAAAGGAGTGAGAGACTCATGTGATGATTAACTTGCTGCTTTTCAATAGATGTTTCTCTGATAATAGAAATATTCTGTATTTTTGCTGTTAAGTTTGGTAGCCACAAGCCACACAGGCTAGTGAGTGATTGAAATGCTGCATGTGTGAAATTAAAAAAAAAAAAAATTCATTTTAAGGTTTAAAAACCACCCGTAATCAGTATCCCCCATGTTGGATGGTGACTGGTTAGCTGATCTTATCCTTTTTTATTAAATGGCAGCATCCCCAAAGGAAGTTTTTTCTGAGACGCAACCCTTTGCGTTTAGTTAGAGTGTTGATTTTATTTGTACACCAGGTTATATGTGTCAAGACAGAGTTGAACATTTGACTCTCTAGAAAGGTGTTAAAGTAATTTGAAATGGAGACTAAATGGCCGTCAGAAGAGATCATGAGAGCAGAGCCCCAGTCGCCGCTACACCCTGGTGGCCTCACCTTGTTCCTGGGGGTGTGCATTGGTGTATGTAGTGTGAGAGACACACACTACTGAGAGTAAAGTGAATAAATGTGTGTAGCGTGACGAGTGTGGTGTCTCTGTTAAGTGGAGCTGATGTTGGGCCTCAGGGGCAAGTGTGTTCAGCATCAGGCATTTCCTGTGTCAGTCTGTCTCTGGCTTCACTCTGTGACAGTGCTGCAGGCCACGAACTCAGCCAGTGTCCTGTGACACTGAGTAAATACTCAGGCGGCTCGTCACTGTGGGAAACGGGCTTTGCGGCTTGATGACTGTCCCCAGTTGTTGGCTACTGCAGGTGTACCAGGCATGATTGAGGTCTGCTAAGCTATGATGTAGCCACATATACCCAATAGTCAGCATATTTACCTCACAATAAGAGTTTTTACATACCTCTATCATAAAGTTCAAGATTGTCTGCTTTATGTTTGTAATGCTTGTTTCTGTGATTTATCTTATTTAATCTCAGCCTGGCACATATACTTGAGGTTTTGTTCCATCCCAGGCATCAGGGCTTGCCTACTATCTTGTTAACATGACAACATTTTAGACAACCTTTAAAGATTTGGTATAAGACAGACTGTATCTGGAGAGCGGAGGCACTATTCTGCTCATTAGAAATAATTTAGTCTCTTCATGCTCTTTTTTTTTTTTTTTTTTTTTAAATCACAATTTTCATTATTTAAACTTTTGAGTTAGGTCAGGTTTGGTCCATCATACTTGCTATAGACTTTTAATGGTTTCCTTATATACGAAACCAGAAATGTGTAATATATTGATCCCGAGTTTCTTGAAAGGTGGCTCCCCTGGTTAGGTTTTCCACTGATGTGATAAAGAAAAAACAGCTTGGAGAGGAAAGGATTTATTTCAGCTTACAGCTCTCAGGTCACACTTTATCCTGAGGGAAGTCAGGGTAGACACTGAAGCAGGAATGCTGCTCACTGGCTTTCCTGTAGCACCCAGGACCACCACCAGCCCAGTGGGCTTGCCCTCCCCACGCCAATCAGCAGTCAAGAAAATGTACCACAGGCCAGTTGGGGGGGGGGGCATTTTGATCCCAAATGACTAGAGCTGCATTGACATAAAAACTAGCCATCACAGTGGCAATGTTAAATTAAAATGTGGTTCTATTTTCTGTATATCGATGTGATTCTCTTTTGAGTGGTGTATACTTTTAATTGCTATAAACACACTTCACTTATCCTTCATTTTTTTTTAAACTTGCATATTCCTGATCATTGCACCTTGTAGTTAAAATAGTTCTCCAGTTTTCTTTAACTTGTAAATCTGGAACTTAAAATGTAAATGTTCCAGGGGTCTTTTTTAAGAGTGTGAATTAACACTAAAAGAAAAGCACAGCTGGCAAATTGGCATAGCATTGTTAAACAGTTCATTTCTTGTGTTTTGAGGCACCTAACATTTGGCCTAAAAGACCATTACAATGTTAGATTAGATTCTGTTTGTATTGTGTAGTAAAAAGTATTTGCTCCTTCTGTTAGATTGAGTCCTTTGTGGTATCTCCATAGCTTGCATTTGAGATTTGATGATTGTGGAAACCGCCTTTTCATGCTTCCTGATTGCATTTTGAAAGCCTAGCTATTTATTACATAGATGATTTAAGAATCTGACATCCTCCATATCTTCTGTGTATATGCATACAGCATACACATGGAGTCATAGACAGTATTTTAAGGTCATGCCACTACGTTTGATCTGATCATTTTATTTGTTTTTCAAGTCCTTGCTAATTATTGTGAGCTCAGTGAACAGGCTGTATTTAAGTCTGATCCTATTTGGTGTTTGAACACTTTTCCTACTTCTGAACTGTTTGGAAGACCTGTAACTAACTCATCACATTCCATCAAGTTGTTTGGGGCTTCTCTTTAGCTTCAGTGTACTGAAGTCTTGTTTGTTCGTTTGTTTGTTTTAACATTTGAGTAAGATGGATGTGTTGTTCATTTCAGGACAACTGGAAAAACATTTGCATTGCTTTAATTTTTTTTGTTAAACTTGTGAGGGATAATAATCTAGACTTAAAAAATGTTGCAAAATAGTAGAGTTGTGTTGGTTCCTTTTTCTGATGATACTGATAAAATATTCTAATAGAAGCAATTTAGAATGAAGATTTTTATTTTAGCTCACAATTCAGGATATGGTCTTTAATGGTGAACAAGTCCAGACAGCAGGGCCCTCTGGTAGCTGCTGTCATTACACCTACAATCAGGAAACAGGGTAAATGCTGGTGCTCAGTTCCACCTCTCATTGAGTCCAGGATCCTCAGTCCTGGGCTTCGTCCTGCCTGAGTGAAGACGGAGCCCCTGTCAGTTAACAGGTTAACAGAGTCACAGCTATCCACAGCGTGTCGAGAAGCACATCTCCGCCATGCCCCTGGGCATACTTTCGCATACCCCCTCCCTCATTTTTTTCTGTCATAGTTACATAGTTTGATCATGAAGTATAAAAACTAGTGTTTGCTACTATTGCTTGACCTACTAGTCTGGTTTTTAAGCTACATAAAGCTGCTTATGTTGTTTATCTGTCTTCATATTCATCCAGTGTCCCTAGTAGAACACAGATAGTCAGTAAATTACACTACTTCTGTTGTCAAGGTATATGTCCTTGTAAGTGTCGTTAAGCTGAACACGGAATTCTTCCCCCTTGTACTGTATTCCACAAGGCGTTGTGTATAGAGAGCTTATGAGTTTGTTCCAGCACGTTCATACTATTTTCTTTCAACTGCAATTACTTATTTTTTTCTGTCCGGAATTTCTTGATCCACAAGAGTCCAATGGCATGACAGCACATGGTGTTGTTCTCAGAGCATTCATATATTTTTCAGAGGTGATAGCTTGTTTGTGTGTTACCATCACTGTGGATTTCTTAAATAATGAGAATTAGTTTAGCATGTCCTTGTTATTCATGTTTTTACTTTAAACAGTAATGACCCGGGGGAGGAACAAGTTGCTGGTTTCTAATATTGCTTTTATGGATGGTAGATGCTTTGTGGTATGTCTGTTTAATGGTAGCAGCATAAAATGTATTCATGTGTATGGACTTGAACAATGACAGTACTGTGCTTCAAAGATTGTTCTTTATTACTTACATGAAGAACCTAATTGCACATAAGTTGAATGTAACAGAAAAAATTAAGTTACTTATGTTGTCAAGATAAGAACCTTTTAAGTCAGTTTTTTTTTTAATTTTTTGCATTTTATTTTGACTGTGTAAATTAAAGCAGTTTTGAGTCACTGCTTACCTGACTATATTTTTATGTTTTCAGATATACTGCTTAAAATAAGGTTCTGTTAATTCTAGATAGCTGCAGAAAGCTCGCTGAGAGTGGTGTTTTTTCATGAACTACTGAATTTTATAAAAATTTCTGGTTTATTTTCCTGTAGTTTTGGTGACATAAAACAATAAGTGAGCTGAGCCACATCCTTGCAGTGCTGACTGCCTCCCATTTAAACGAGCACACACCTTTGTTCCCGTTGCCTTCTTGGCCCACCTGGTCTGCAGAGGCGCCAGCTGGCCCTTCCCTGGGTGTGGGAGGTTGGACGGAGGATGAGCTGGTGGCTTGGGTGGATCCAGGTGACCTTGTCTTCTCGGTGTTGAATCTCTTTTCACTGTACCTAATGCCCTCTGGGGACATTGTCCGTCTGTCTTTTAGGGTGACGCAGACCTACGATGCAGGAGCGTGTATCTACTTCTATTTTGCCTTTAACTACAGGGGAATTAGTGACCCGCTGACTGTGTTTGAACAAACTGAGGTAATTTTGCATGCAGCTTTCATGTTCCATCCTTTTGTTTAAATACATTTTAGTGCTGACTTAGGGATTTTTAGTTTGATTCACCTTAGTCACACGTGGCTTACCTGGCTGCTTGCCCATCGAAATGAAAGGTATGTTGGGTCCACTGACTTACCAAATTGTTAGTGTGAAATTAATGTCGTGTATTCCTGAAGCCTGTGTGTGTCTCTCTGTTTACTTTCAGTTCATTATAGTCAATTAAATAACAACAGGAACCTTCATGACTGTAGGGATCCTTGGTGTTTCTTTGGCAGGCCATTCATCTCTGGGTGGTAGCTGTTCTAAGGTCAGCAACCTTCATGGTCCTGGTCTGTGTTGTTGTAATATATTTCCAGGCGTGTGGATTCATTTGCTAACAATTTCAATTACATTTCTTAACTGGCCTCAAGCTGTTGGCTTTATGGACTCAATGTTGTTGGGTTTATTTCTTGTTAGAAGCAGCATAGACTCCTCCACTGAACTGGAGGAAGCCAGAGCAGGTGTGTCACTTAGACACACAGGTGCCCTGGTGTTGACTATGTGTGTGCCAGTGATCTCTGTCATCCTCAGAAGTCTAAGTGTGTTTGTACTGTTCATGTGTATGTGTACATACATGCAATGCCTTACAGATGGACAGACAACCTGGGGGGAAGTTAGCCCCGGGTTCTCTCTGCCGTACCAGTCCTAGGGATAAAGCTTAGGCGGTCAAGTTTGGCATCCAGTGCCTTTCCGCACTGAGGAATGGCATCTGCCCAGAAGTTTGAGGACATTGTATCTCCTTGGCCTGTCTTTGAAAAATCCCTTGCTTAGCCGGCGTGATGGTGCACACCTGCATTTTCAGGCACTGGGGAAGTGGAGGCTAGAGGGAGGCAGCAAGCATGAAGGTCAGCCTGATTTGCACATTGAGTTCCAGGCCGGCCGGCATTACATAGCTTCCTCTTAAAAACACAAACAAAACAAGCTTCTTTAGAGTCCACAAATTGAAATTGTATCGATTTTCCCAGTTTTGTTTCTTGCTTAATTCCTGATCTCAAGGAGCTATTTATTTGAAGTGATTTATTAGAAATGATAAGTTCTTGAGCAGAGGCTAGCATAGTTCTGATTATATGGGAAACCTCAACTCCCAAGTCCTGAGGTTCCTGCAGAGTACTTTGCTACACACTGTGGTCCATATGTCCCACCTGGGTGGTTTTCTACATCAACCATCATTGATAGCTTTATAGACATGAGTATTTCTGAGAAGCTCCAGGCACAGGAGATAGTCACCTTGTGGCTATTAAATATTAACAAATCATTAAGAATAGAAAAATGTATCTAGGTGGTGGTAGTGCACGCCTTTAATCCCAGTACCTTGGAGGCAGAGGCAGGCGAATCTCTTGAGTTCGAGGTCAGCCTGGTCTATAGAGAGAGTTCCAGAACAACCAGGGGTACACAGAGAAACCCTATCTCAAAAAACTAAAACCAAAAAAAAAAAAAAAAAAAAAAGGATAGAAAGTATGATGGAATGGATGTATGAAGAGCCATAATGAAACCCACCACTATTTTTTTTCCAGTTAAAAATAGAAAGTTAAAAGAGGGCCAGGGCTTAAGTAAGGAAGAAGGTAAACAGAAAGGATCAGGGCAGCCCCAGGTTCCATTACCCTTCATTGTACATTCTGTGTTTATCTTTTGACCCAGGTGCACTGATAAGGATGTTCAGGTCCTAGCACATTAGGAGGATAAACAAGGGGACAAAATGGAAATTTGGGGTTTTTTTTCTCTCTCCCCCTCAATCCCTCCCTCCCTCTTTTCCTCTCTCCCTCCCTCTCTCCCACTCATCCTCCCTCACGCCCTTCTTTTATTCCTCTTAGGTATGTGAGTAGAACTAGCAAATAATTTGTCCCATGTGATTGAACTAAAAGATGTTCTCCCTAAGGGTGCTTATACAACTTATGGCTGTAGAGTAGAAGTAAATAAAAAAATTCAAGCAAATTGCTTGGTACCTTTTTGGGCATCTGGGGAGAAGTCAATAAATGTTAGCTACTCTGAAGTGAAATCTAAGTAGCAGTAACATTTTGTGTTGTTTCCATTTTCAGGCAGCTGCTAGAGAAGAAATCCTTGCCAATGGAGGAAGCCTGTCACATCACCATGGAGGTATTTTTAAAGCAGGGTGGTATAGAATTTCTAATATTCCTTCTTTTAAAAATACTTGTTCAACAAAGCCTGGGAGAGTCATTACATGAGTAACTCGAGAATCTGGAAACATTTTTATACCTTAGAACAACTGTGGTCAAAGCATGTAGATGATGTGATGGCAACAGTACTTGGTATGGAATCTGTCAGCTTTCCTAACTCTCGGACCCTCATGTTACCAGAGAGCAGATTACCTTACTTGGGAGGTGTTTGACCATTACACCAAAGCTTTAAAGAAAGGAAAGAAAAACAAAACCTGTACAGTCTTTTCCAGCTGCTATTGGGAGTATAGATGAACTCAGTTGTATATATATTGAGAGATACTTGTTCTTCCTACAAACTCAGCAAATTAATCAACAAATAATTTATCCCAAGTGATCAAACTAAGAGATGTTCTCCTAAAGAGTGCCATTATTAAAATTGTAAGTTTTTAGATTGTCCACAGGTTCTCTATAACAGAAACTTGTTACAGTATGTTTCTTTCTTTAATTTTATATGCCTAGAAAAAGTAGAAATTTAAAAAAAAAGTTAGGGAGGTACACGAGGGCAAAAATTACCTAAAAATTAAACTCTTGGCCTGTCCTGCACTCTCCATATACCTCTTGTCCTTTTTGATTCCCTTCATAACTATATTATCTAAAATGCTGTGCATTTGTGTTAAACCATTTGCAGTTGCTTGCTAGAAAGTTGGAGTCCAGGAAAGCAATGATTGTTTTCTGTGTCTTGCTGTATAGTAGAACTAAGTACTGTTCTACGTACTCAGCCTCTACATGTGTGTGGAGAGATAATGGCAGAATTTTGGTAGAAAAGAGGTGTTCTGTAAAGTGCCTGTCTATGCAAAACATTTTATAGGCAGGGCTGTAGAAGACTGATGATGTAAATGAGATCCAAGATAATGCAAACACTGCTACCTCAGTCTCATTATTAATGTCATCTTTTTTTCTTAACCTTCACAAATAAGTAGGCTGTCTAATGAACATTAGAGTGGATAAATTACCCTTTGCCTTCTCTTCCTGAGTATATCCTTTTCTTTACAAGTTGTGTGTGTGTGTGTGTGTGTGTGTGTGCGCGCGCGCGCGCGTGCATGTGTGTCCATGGATGTGGAGGCCTGAGGCTGGGCAGGAATCATCCTTGATGGCTCTTCCACCTCAGTCATTGAGTCAGGGTCTTTCAGAGGGGCTGGTGGGTGCGAGAATGGCAAATGAAAAAAAAGAGGAAACAGGAACTAGAAATGTCTCAAGTGGAATCAAGAGCTCAGTCCTACCTCTGTCACTGTAAATGCCAGGTGCCGTAGGATCTGTGTTACAATAAACAGGAGAAAGAGAACAGAGGGTGAGGACAGCAGGCTGTGGAGGAGGGTGAGCGGAAGCTTACATTGTTTTAGGGAATTGATTATTGAAGGGGCTGTTTCTTGATTGTGGAATGTTGGCTTCAGGTCACTCAGGTTTTGTCATGTGAGAAATTTTGCCAAAATTGAAGGTGACCGAGTGATCTGAAGCAGTGCAGGGGAGAACCCTGCCGGTAGCCTTTCTGTGGGCAGTAGCTGTTCTTGTTTTCTTTGTCTTCGCTTTTCTGAAGACAGTGTTCCCAAGAGCAGCTGTGTGTGAGGTACCCACAGGGAGACACATGTTGTAGTTGCTTCTCAGATGCAGAGAGCTGCTGCCTCTTAGGAGCCTACCTGTCCACGCACAGCTGTACTTGATGCAGCACATCTGTAAAGAAACAGAAATTAAACCATAACCTGTGCTATATTGATTTATCAGTCCTTGATCTCAAAGCTCATTATGTAAATAGTATGTGTGGGTTTTGTCTGGGATGGACACTGATCCCTAGGCCTTACAGCTGAGGGCCCCTCTCCCCTCAATGATTCGTTTTGATACAAAGTACACTTAATGCCTTTTCATCTTGTATAATGTGTTTTCCAAATATAATTATTACCGGACAGCTAGGCTAGAGATTTTCAAAGATTTTCCTTCTCTTCCGGGGGATATACAGTCAGCCCAAGAGAATAAATGTTACAACATTTCAGAAATTACTGATCAAAACTGGTGTGTTTGTTCCCTGCTCACTGCTGTTAGATTAGTCTCCCTTCACTTCGGACAGCTCTGTCAAGGCAACCACGAAATAATAAATGCCTTATTGTGAGACAGGAAGGGAAGATTAAAAAAAAAAAAAAAACAAAACGTGTTAATACTTACACAGCTGTTAATGTTTTCCAGGGTCTGTGTAACTCCATCTCCTTTAATCCTCTTCAGCATGCAGCTGAGACGCTGTTACTCATGTTTCCAGTGGAATTCACAATATAAGCTGTTGTTGCTAGTGTAAGGCCTGGAATGTAAACTCAGGGCTTCATTCTCTGATGCTCTATCCTTACACCAAGAAGCCTAAACTGTGTGAGATCATTTAAAATCCAAAAAGATTGAAATTGACTGCCTTTGAAGAGAAATACTGCCCGGCATGGTGCTGCACGCCTGTCATCCCACCACTTGGGGAGACAGAGGCAGGCGGATCTCTGAGTTTTAGGCCAGCCTGGTCTACAAAGTGAGTCTAGGACAGGCAAGGCTACACAGAGAAACCCTGTCTCCAAAACCAAAATAAAACAAAAAAAGAAAAGAAAAGAAATATCTATTCGTTTTCCTTTAAGACTATATAATTCCTCCTTTTCTTTAATTTCCACAGTATTTAAAATAATTGCCTTTTAAACAAGGTCCCCTGAAGGGAAGTTTTAGTTTCTTCATTATAGGTATTTTTTATTCTTAGTAGTTCTTGCCCATGAATTCTTTTACTTTCTTGTTTGTTTTATACTTCCTGATTATAGGCATTTAACAGGCACTGAGACAGTACAGAGCATGTCATGTTACAGTGTCTTAGTTATTATTTCTGTTGTTGGAGATAACGTCATGACCAAGGCAACATACAAAAGAAAGAGTTTATTTGGGACACAGTTTCAGAGGGTTAGAGACCATGACCACCCCAGCAGGGGCAGCTATACCAGTGGCTGAGAGTTTACATCTTGAAACACAACTAGCAGACAGATGCTGGGAATGGCACAGGCCTTTGAGACCTCAGATCCCACCACCAGTAACACACCTCCTTCGATATGGCCACACCTCTTAATCCTTTCCAAACAATTCCACCAACTAAAGACAAAGTATTCAAATATAAGAGCCTATATGGACATTCCCATTCAAACCATTACACACAATAAAACTGCTTGTATAATTGGTATATATTTTCAAGTTCTAGGTTTAGGGATCTTTATTAAGGACTTCACATGTTGAAAATTTTATTTATTGGCTTGAAGTAGAATGGAAAAATTTGATTCCATATTAAATTTAGAGGCTGCTGCATTAAAAGATACATTTTAAAATTGCTGTCCCATTTCTTGTATTTATTGTTTGTGTGATCCGAAACAATGACTGCATGGAAACAAATTCCATGACTTGATTTCCTGTAGTGCTTAGGGAAAGAACCCAGACCTGCAGAGGAGGCCTGCATGACAGTTTACATAATTCCATCAAGAGAAGGTGTGCTCCTGCTGAGCTGCTACAGCAGGGGGCTCCGTGCCCCTTTCCTCCCCTTCCCTACTGAGTCTCACCCCACACTGGAAACCACGCTGAAGACTGAGCTACCAAAAAATGTCACTGCTTCTGGCACCACCTTCATTCAGATCTGTTGAGAACAAGATCCACACCCTTCCTTAAGCCTTCAAGGATGCAGTATATGTGTCCATACCACTGTCCTCGTCTGTCCTCATCTCTGATACATTTTTTCCTGCTGTTCTTCAGACAGAAGCTCTTTCCCCTCAAGGCTTACACTGTTCCCTCATGCTCTACTGTTCTTCTGGTAATTTAGGTCTGCAGCAGAGATGTCACCTTTCTAGTAATGGCAGACTTGTGTAGTTTCTGTGATTCCCATTTGAATTCTGTTCACTGACAGCTATGGCTTTGATCCCATTCTGTTCTCCAATCTCCAGAACACCGAGTGTCTGCTTTGTGTAGTTCTTCCTCGGGACGAGGACTGCAGGAGGGCACTGTCAGGCCCAGCTGCTTTAAGACAAAGTGAATTGCACAGATAGGGAAGGAACACTTGGTCATATGCTGAGAGATGCATGTTGTTGCGCTCTGCTGAGTGTCTGTGGCAACACACTTCTGCAAAGCTATGTAGAATGAACCAAGCCGTTCTGTGATTAATACCACCCTGTACTGAAGGAGGGTTACGACCTCAAATCACTGTTGGGCGGCTGAGGTCATTTGAGTCTTTCCTAGCATTTGTGTTGAGACTCGTCTCCAGGTGAAGATTAAAACGACCTGTGGGTGTAGTTGGGTGATGAGCATGCCTCACATGCCAGAAGGCTGGTTCCCAAGCACCACACATGCCTACGCATGCGTGTGGACACGTGTACACATGCACTTACAAGTTTAAGGTGCTGTAAACAGAAGATAATATTCTTTGAAATAAAATATGTATTGAATTACTAGCTCCACATTTCCTGATGAGGTCCTAGGGAAGGGGGTTCTCTGAGCTACAGTTGTCCTCAACTGCAAACCAAGAGTAATAGTTCTCCACCTCACAGGTTCACTATAGGATGTCACTGTGCAGCGTGTGGAGCATCTGATGTGCCTTGCATGTAGATGCTGAATCATCATAGTGTGTGTTTTTTAAGTTGTAGGAGAATATCAGGTAGAACTCTGGTTTATATTCTTAATCTTTGTACCAACCACTGAATAGTGGGTTGCAGTTTATTTGGAAAAGATGTGCACATTCAAGGGGGTCTGACACTATCATTTTTTATTTATAGCTTAGAGGTCTTACTCTTTAGGTCTTTTAAAATCTTCATGAAAGAAAAGTTTCTTTCATATTACTAGCATGAAATTGGCTATAGTAAAATGGCTATTTTCATAGTAACCTCTCTGAAGTGAAACTTTCAAATCTCTACTGCTATTTATAGTTTCATAAAG